AAACCATATTAATGTATTCATGTAGAAATTTTGTATTGATTTTAATTTCATAATGAAATAAATTATGTATACACTATCTTTTCAAAGCAAACGTCTTGATTAAAAACAACTATGGTTTTAGAGATTAAATCAATAATCCACATTTTCTCTATGTTAAAACAATATATATTAATTTAAATAAAGTTTATATAGTGAAGAGATCAAGTCTTTTATATGTAAGTAAAGGATTTAGTATCTGATTTATAAATGCTAATTAATAGAGTGAAGTGAGGTGTTCAATAAAAATTTACTTCAAGGACAGAGAGTTTTTCATTCGGCATTATGTCTAAGAATATATTTTTAATATAAACATACTCATTTATTTGAAGAAAAGGCTATTCTCTGGACCATGCTCTTAAAGGCCTGTTTCACTTGTTGATTTCTTAGTGTGTATATGAAGGGATTCAAGAGGGGCGCCACTGAGGTATTGAGCACAGCTATTCCTTTGCTTAATGTCACCCTTTCCCTTGCAGAAGGTTTAATGTACATGAAGATGCAGCTGCCATAAGAGAGGGAGACAACAATCATGTGGGAAGAACAAGTGGAGAATGCTTTTTTCCTTTGGCTTGTGGAAGGAATTCTCAAAATGGTTCGGATAATATATGTGTAGGACAGAATAACCAGTGTTAAAGTAACCATAAGTGTTACAACAGCTAAAAAAAATGCCATGAGTTCTAGAAAATGAGTGTTTGTGCAAGAAAGCTGCAGAATTGGAGAAGAGTCACAGATAAAATGATCGATTATATTGGAGGCACAGAAATCCAAACGTAACAAAAGAATTATTGGTGGAAAGATGATCAGGAATCCTGCAAGCCAAGAGCTAAAGACAAGGAGGATACAAACCCTTTGGCTCATGATGGTCATGTAATGCAAGGGTTTACAGATGGCTACATAACGATCATAGGACATGGCAGCCAGAAGGTAAAATTCTGTCACTCCCAAGAAGATGAAAAAAAATAGCTGAGCCACACAGCCATTATAAGAGATAGTCCTATCTCCTGTTACAATGGTGACGAGGAATCTGGGTATGCAAACAGATGTGAATGAAATTTCCAGAAAGGAGAAATTTCGAAGGAAGAAATACATGGGAGTCTGGAGATGGGGATCTGAAAGGGTGAGCGTGATAATGATTAGATTTCCAGTCACACTTAGTAAGTAAGTTACAAGAAGAAATGTAAAAAGTACAACCTGCCACTGTGGATCATTTGTCAATCCTAGTAGAATGAATTCTGTTACTGTTGTGTAATTTCTCATATTTTCTTTCTTGATTGTAGTACTTTTGGTCTTTAGCTGTAAAATGAAAATAAGGAAGTTATGATATCAATAACGAAAGTAAAAAGAACCATTTTTGTAGTCTTAGGTAAAAGTGAGTAAATACCTTGAGAAATGTTATTTTTTCTACCTTACATATTTTATTTTCCAATATTTTCTTAACATATTTTCCTGTTTAAGTCTCTGCATTCGTAATGCTTTACAATAGTCCCTTGAAACAAGAGAGGTGGGGAAAGACTCAAGCTTTGGAGGTTAAAATTTTTCTGGGTAGTAGAAATCTGATAATTCCCTCCAAGAAACATTAAGACATTTTGAGATTTTCAACTTTCAATTTTCTTTTTTTTCATCTTTCTTATTTTTTATAATTTTGAACGAGCAGTTCTTTCACATTTCTATTAAGATGTTGACAAGATCTGGAGGTAAACAATTCATCCATCTTCTAGAATGATGTGCCCCTGTAAATGGAATACAAAGATGTTTAATAGCTTGATAAAATTTGTCATCAAATCCAATGTTTATATTGCAAAACATTATAGTTTTAATTAATAATATTTCTTAATATGAGTAAAATATGCTCCTTAATATGATTTGACTCTCTTGCTACATATAATGAATCTACTATTTCATAAGTTGTATGTCAAGTCAGAACCAACTCTTGGCTGACTCTCCAATGGGTTTCCAGGGGTAGTTAATTTGCAGTGCAGGAGATTGTCATTTTTCTCCTGTGGAGAAGCTGGTGGATTCCAACCACCTGCTTTGAGATGACAGTCCAATTAATTTATCACTAAGGCACCAGAGCTCCCTTCATAATAAGTAGTTCTTTTATAGAATTATTAATTATATATTTTGTATATATATTTTTGTAACATATTCTTAGTAGTGTTATTCCCAGATAAATGTAACACTTCTCTATGATATTCAGTAGTTTTTGAGAAAAATGAAAAGTTACATGAGTTAAACGTTTGTGTTACATTTTGGATAAGGCAACATTTCTTATTGCAACATTTTTCCTTCGATTTATCTTTAATTTTTCCAATGTTTGTTCATTTTTTAAATTTATAACTATATTCCAAAAGTTTTTGATATGGCATCAAGTGTGGCAGAAATAACAAAGATGATTTAGGATAGATTAGGGTTCGGATCTGTCATTCACACAGTGGTTATAAGTCATAGTCGACTGTGAGGGTCTGTCAAGGCTGCTGTGCCTTGATGGACTGTCTCCATATATGCTCCAGGCAGCTTGCTGGACAAAGCATGTGGATGTGTCCCCAAGAAAAATGGGTGTATTCATGAGACTCATAAGACCCAGAGAGCAGTTGAGACCTCATAAGATCCAGAAGAGTAGCTGTGAAGGCTTAGTTTTTGAGAAACTAAAGTCCTTGAGAGCTTGTAAAAATACAGGCTAATGAGAAGCCACTGTTCTTGAGAACTTGCAGAAAAAAGAGATGAGTTTCTTGTGTTAAGATTTTCTGGGCAAGCTGTTATGAAATTCCAACTATATTGAAAACAGTTTTTTTAAAGAGATAACAGTTTGCTGTGTAGTAAGAAATGTCATAATAATAGAATGTTTGTATTTTCTATATATACTGAGAAAAATAAACAACAGAGCATTGGTTTCTGCCTAGGTTCTGCCTTGACTTTACCTTGGTCCCTGGTACTTTGCTTTATATCCCTTTATCTGTCTCTGTTCTTTTCTCAGCAGCACTGGATCTCCAAGTCCCAGCCAGTAATCAGCTACAGTTGACTCAAAGACATTTAAAAACAATAAGGCCAATTAAAGAATATTTAAATATTCAGACAGTTTTTATGAAAATATCTTGTCTCATTTATGTCCTATACTCTTGTAAAGTCAATATAGTTTTTTGGCACTACTTGCTATTCACCAATTATTCACCATGAGAATGAGTTTGCTGATGAATTTTCTCTTCAAAATTCATAGTTAGTTCCCCCCACTTCACATTTTTTCCTCCCTTTATGATCATAAGATACATGCATAATTTTCGTGGTTTGTCTTTATATTACCATTGCTAACACTGGATAAAAAAATCTATGCTGTGAGTAAGTAGACATATAATGTATAACTACTCAGTGTTCAAACACATCAGACAAATTGTTTAGAATTTTGTATAATCATGACTCTTTAGTTTATGAATATTTTTTATATTCCAAATGATTATGAGATATATTTGCAGAACTACACACAAGAAAACATAGTTTCATGAATCACAAAATATTTTTATTATTATAAAAAAAATTGCTGCGTAAGCCTATTGAAATGTGCTACTTTTAAAGTCAGGTTTCTTTTATATAGTCTATGATAATTAAGTAGCTTAATTTAAATTGTATTTGTGCTGTACATAATTTAGATTACTTTAATATAGATCTCTATTACTAAAAGAAAAAGATATTCTTGAAAACATATAAGTAGTAACAATTATTTTTATGATAAATGTAACTTATTTAGTGTCATCTACAATGATTTATTTAATTTGCTTACATATGAATGATTTAGGATTGTTAAAAAGTTCTCTCAATCAGATCTACTTCTTTAATGTTATATTTTTAAGAAAACATAATATTAATAAGCAATAAAATTCCAATATCTCCTCTACATTATTCACAAAAATGTCACATAACAATCCATTTCTGTATACCCACCTAAATTTCCCCAAGCATCTAAGATGCTGAGATATTTTATCTATTAGCACGTTTTGAAGTAGTATTTTGTTACTTGAAATAAATTATAGTTGAAATGAAGATAAGCACAATGCCTTTTCAAGCTTAATGGACAAACTGATAATTATCTTCTGTGGAGAAGCAATATTATTGAAGTTAGCCATTATTTTATCTTCTACATTTACAATGTACTCATGGGATTATTTGAATGAATAAACAAAATGTACCACAGAGATTGGTGTTCTCAAGACACCAAAGGCTAAACAATAGTCTGAATTAAAGCACAATTTACTACAGAATATTGAGATGCTTATAGCCTAAAATCAGCACAGAATAAAATAAAAAAATTCACATATGCACAATTTATTGTAACTTCACAAAAGTTCTCCAGATATTAACAAATGGGTCTTTCTCAAGTCTTTGGGGAAACCTAAAGAATTCTCTCTCTCTCTCTTTTTTTAATTTGAGATAGAGATGAAGTCATCATTCCATTACAGAATAAAAAAAGTAAGATTGTCTGTAAAATTGTATCCTTTTTCCACTGAGGAGCACAGGAAATATGTATATAATTAGAAACTGTTGCTACTATTATGTTCCATATCTGTCTTTCTATCAGATTGTCAGAGATTATATATCTCTTTCTCACACATAGCAGGTGGTAGACACAAATTACCTGCTTTTTGATTGGCAGTACAAGTTCTTACCTGTTAGATTACCGGAAACTATCATTTACTAACTTGATAATCATCTTTTTATGTTTAATATATGCTGGGCTTAAATGAATATTTAAGGAATATAGACATAATTTAGATAGTTCTTGCTAAAATTTTTATAATTCATTAGTTTAACTCCCTCCAAATTCATTCCCCAAGTATTCTTAATAAACCTATTTCCAAACTATAAATGCAATACTTCTCCACAAGTATAATTTCATTGAGGAGTAACAAATGAGAAAAGTTCAACATTCATAGTAAGTTCAGGAAAAGTGAGTATTTTTAATTTCAAATCCAGTGCCTAAATTTGAAAAGCAATCTACAATGTTTTCCTTGCACATTTCTATTTATTTGTTATTTAATCCAAATGGTCCAAAAGATAAAGTTTAAATAAAAATTGGGTTATTAAAAAAATAAATCAAAAAAATTGGGTTATTTATTTTCTAGATTCTTATAAAATTAAGATTTTAAAGGTTGTGGTTTATTTTTTAATATGTTTTGGAAGATATATAATTACTCAAGGCAGAAAGATAAGCCAATGCATATTACGTATCAAAGAATGATAAGGCTAACACATGACATCTCTTTTAAATTAAGAGACTATCTTACAAGTGAAAAAACTCAGGACTTTGAATTAAGGTCATACAAACTTAAGAATATTGTCACAATACTATTTCTTTCTTTGTTGCTATTGTTAGGTACTGTTGAATCCAGTATGACTTATAGCAGTCTATGAGCAAAAGATTTGAACCCAGCCTTATCCTTAACCCTTTTCACACTTTCTGATATACAAGAGCCCACTGCAGCAGTCACTCTGTCAATCCACCTTGTTGAGGATCTTCCTCTCCTTCACTGATCCTCCACCCTTCCCAACATCATAAATATTCAAAATAGTGCCTTTAGAAAATGTAATTTGGACTTTAAAATACTGTGGTAAATATATTGTGCAAATGTCCCTAAAAATCTAGGTGCTTGACATAAGGGAAACTTCTTCTATTGTAAACACATAATTAATTCCATTCATTGTTTATATTTTATGAAGGCTGTTATGAATTATCATATGAATAGCCATACTATTGTCCACTCTCTCTATTGCAAAACTTGGTATCAGAAGAAACTTTAAAATCAAGCCTCTGCAAAAGTAATTTTGTAAAGAACTAATACACATCATATTCAAGCTGCATGAAGATTAAGAAATGTTATTTTTTAATTGACTGTAGCCTATCAAGTAAAATTTCTAAAGTCTTGAAATAAACTTGTATCTGCTTAAGCAAAATTCAACAAATAATAGCTATTCAGAAAGAAAAATGTATTTTAAAATATTTATAGATTAGTAATTAACATATAGATAGTTTATGGAGAGAAGCAGTTTCTTGAATAACACCATCATGTATCCAGCCAATTAGCTAACTATCTGCCTTGAAAATTTTTTGCTATATCCTAGACTAGTCTCTTGCCTGGAACACTAGACCATGATGCCACTTCCTGATGGGTCTTTCCCCCTTCATCTGAAGCCCCTGATGCCTGGACCCCTGAACCTGATGCCTGAGGGACCTTGTTCAGCTTCCTGGATGCTCTTTCCCAGCTTCTGGA